AGGACCAGTAGAGGGTGGGAGACTAAGAACGTGCAGAAGGAGCGGAACGTAGTACGGCTGCGGCTGCTCAACACCTCCAGCGACAACCCCATCAGGAGGCCCAGTCCTAGCAGCTCCACTACCTCCAGTATGAGCACCCCCAGAACCAGCGGCTCCAGCAGCTCTAGCAGCACCTCTAGCAGCGCCAGCAGGAATGCCAGTAGCAGCAGCACCTCCAGCAGCTCCAGCAGCACCTCCAGTAGTAGCAGCACCTCCAGCAGCTCCAGCAGCACCAGCACCAGCAGCACCTCCAGCAGCACCAGCAGCACCACCAGCACCAGCAGCACCGCCAACAATAGCACCACCTCCAGCACCAGGGTCCGCGACACTAGGAGCGCCACTCCGGAGACTGCAGCGCCGAGCGTACCACTCTCGGAGCCGCTGGGGAGAGGGCAGCTCCCGCCTAGGAGGGGAAGCACTAGCACCTGCTCCAGCAGCACTCCTAGCTCCAGAGGCACCCCTCCTGAGGCTGCAGTACTGTAAGTACCACTCTCGTAGCTGCTGTGAGGAGAGAGCTCCTCCAGGTGAAGCACGCTCAGTCCCAGTACCCTCACACGTAGCACTCCCAGGCTCAGCACCCCCAGACTCAGCACCCGCAGGCTCCGCACCCCCAGGCTCAGCACCCCCAGACTCCACAACCCCAGGCTCCGCACCCCCAGGCTCCGCACCCTCAGGCTCAGCTCGCTCAGGCTCAGCACCCCTAGCAGGACGAGAGTCAACAGCTACCTCGAATAGCTCAACCAGGTCTACCTGGGACACACCTGAGGGAGCGGCACCCTGAGGGGGAAGGGGGTCTACCACAGCAGCACTTGGCGCGAGGAAGAGAGGCGGGGGGGGGAGTGGGGCAGTGCGGTAGGGGAAGAGGCGGTAGTAGGGCACGGACTCGTCAAAAGTGACGTCCTGAGAGGGCAGGACACGGCGCAAGGTGGCGTGGTAAAACTGCCAACCAGACGCGTCCGGAACAAAGCCAAGGAAGACACAAGGAACAGCACGGGAGGAGAGCTTGTCCGCTGACGTATCGCGAACAAAAGCTCGAGAACCCCAGACCTGAAAACGCGACGCATCGCCAACCTCTCCCGTCCAACGCACTGTCGGAGAAGTCTTCGGCAGAGAGACACGGGGCCAGAGGTTGAGCTAATGCGCAGCATATCGGACCGCAAACGGCCACAGAAAGTGGGGGGCAGCCGCATGGATCAAGGAGGTACGAGCGACCTCCATGACCAAACCAATGCGGTGCTCAGCAACCCCATTCTGCTGTGGGGAGACCGGAAGCGTGAACGTCTGGCGGATGCCGTGCTCCGCACAGTAGGCAGCCAAGAGGTCGGAGGAGAACTCACCACCTCTGTCAGAGTGCAGACGCAGGACAGGAAAGTCCGAGTGGAACCGCTCACTGAGCTGGAGACGAGTAGCACGGATCCAAGGGATCAAAACATCAGGGACCTCACCCTTGGTGCGCAAGGGGAAGACCGTGGTGTAGCGTGAGTAGTCGTCAACAACGATCAGGAAGTACCTCTCCTGACCCTGTCCACGGACGCGGGCTGGGCCCCACACGTCCAAGTGGAGAGTCTGCAGTGGAGCCTCTGTGGGAGGGAACGAGGAGGAGTGAGGAGCAGCGCGCCGCCACCCCTCGACACAGGGAAGGCAGGGAGGAGCAGGCGACGGTGGGAGTGGAGGGAGAACCCTGGGAAGACCAGAGACAAGGTACCGTTTGTGCATGGCACGAAGGCGTTGCACTGACGGGTGACCAAGGCGGTGGTGCTAGAGGACAGCTCGTGTGCCAGGGAGCGACACGAGCAGGGGGCAGATAGCTGACCTGACGCAGACGCAGACGCAGCTACCTAAGGGGACTTGGTGTTCAGTGTGTACAGGTCCGACCCCGGCTGCCGAGTGAAGGTAGCCAGGTGGCGGACTGTCCGAGCGCACGTACAATGTGTCACGCGCTCGTAGGCAGGGGTAAACTGGTGTACATCCCCGTCCTGGAGCGCACTACCCGCCACCAAGTTCGTAGAGAACGAGGGGAGGTAGAGACCTGACTGTGTGCCGGACGAAACCGCAGGACAAGGGAGGAGAGTGGAGAAGGTCGCAACGACCGGACCCCCAGAGGGGTCAGCGAGGGAGACTGCAACTGGCCGAGCAAGCTGCTCAAGGGCAGTGCGGTCACGAAAGAAACAGCGAGAAGCACCTGAGTCCAGAATGAAGGTGTGCAGTGCCTCAGTAGACTCAAAACCAGGGGGCGCAGACTCACGAGCACCTAGAGCAGCAGCCTCACCAGCACGTGGGCACCAGACACACTAGCACCTAGAGTTGCAGCTCCACTGGGTCGAATGCCCGGGTTGGGCGGAGCACAGAGGGACTAATCACCCTCTCCACTAGTAGACAAGACATACATGGCAGTGAGAATAGCATCAAAGTCAAGAGCATAGATATCAATGTTCTTCCTCATCAGATCGGCCCAGCGGGGCAGCTCAGTGGCACCAGGGTACTGAGTGCGCCAGGCGTCGTCGAGGCGGGAGAAGCAGCGCTGCGTGGGGTGCGCCCTCCCACACGTCTGACCAGTGCGGTCACCTGTGTGGATGACGTACGTGCAGCTAAGTCCACCCCCCCCCCCCCCTCCCCCGTGCTGAGAGTACCACTCACGAAGCTCCTGGGGCACTAGAGGTTGCTGCTGGCTCTGGCCACTGCCGGCGCCTCCACGACCACCACCTCCGCCGCTGCCTATCCATCCACCACCGCCCCTGCCGCCTCCGCGTCCACCGCCGCCACCACCTCCGCCCCCGCCCCTGCCACCTCCCCCGCCGCTGCCGCCACCACCCCCACCGTTGCCACTAGTCCCTCCAGCCCCGCCACCACCCCCACCGCCGCCACCGCCCCCACCACCGCCTCCCCCGCCGTCACCTCCGCCTCCCTTGCCCCATTTGCCTTTGCCGCTGCGGCGCCAGCTCGGAGCGGACGCAGTCCCGACCTTCTCAGCACCAAGGAGGTCGACAACAGCAGCAGAGGCTATAGAGGGGAGAAGGGGGGAAGGGGAACACCCCTCAAAGAAAGGGGTGCGGGGGTCGCCACGAGAGGCACCTACAGCGACTATGCTAGCCTCAGCTGCAAGTAGTTCCGTCTCGAGGAGGGCAATGGTTAGCTCTGTGGGGCAGCGAGCTAGGAAGTGGTCCCTGACTGCACGTAGAGTGTCAGGCAGGCGGGTGACTAGATGGTAGAGAGTGAGCCAGAGCGGGGGGGGTTCTTGGCAAGAAACTCTTTTGGCATAGCGGCACGGAAGCGTGCCTCACTAGTGCGGAGGTGCGTGATGAGGTCAGCGACTGTGGAGAAAGAGGACAGGTCGGGGAACAGGTAGGGGAGTGAGAGACGGCCTAGTGCGGCAGAGGCAGGTGAGGAGTAGCGGGCAACGACAGCAGTGTACAGTGCCTGTGCAGTCTTGTGCTGGCCAAAGTGCTCGCGCTCATCTATCGGCAAGGAGTTGCGAATAGCAAAGCGAGCGTGGGCGTCATGAGTCTGCCACTGTGATCCGGTAGTGCTGTCATCAGTAGCAGAAGGGGCAGTAGCATGGCCTAAGGCGTGATCGTACAGTGAGATGTCTTCCTTGGCACTGAGCTGTAGGAATAGGTGCAGGTCATCGAGCCAGGTGTCAAACTTCACTGGGCGGCCCTCAACATCGAAAGCTAGCACAGGAGGGCTAGCCATAGTGACAGTAGGAGGAGCAGAATCAGGGGCGCGGCTCGGTAGGAGGCGCGGCTCGGTAGGGCAGCGCGGCTCGGTAGGGCGGCGCGGTTCGGTAGGGCGACGCGGCTTGGGCCGGGTGACGCGGTTCGGTGGGGCAGCTCGGCTCAGCTAGGGAGCGGCTACTCGAGGTGGGGTAAGCGAGCTCGGCTGTGCGCGAATCGTGCACAAGTGTGCAGGAAGCGAACTCGGGTGTGCGGTAAGCAAACTCAGGTGTGCGGGGAGGGAGGGGCCGCAGGGCGACGCATGGGTCGACGGGGACGGGCGCACGGGTCCCCGGGGTGGCGAGCTAGCTAGGGCGGGGCCTGGTCGCACGGGGCACGCAAGGGCGGGCTGGTGGGGTGGGGCCGGGTCGCACTAGGTACGCGAGGGCGGTCTAGCTGGGTGGGGCCGGTACGCGAGGGCACGCAAGGGCGTGCGGGTGGGTGTGGGCCGGTCGCACGGGGCACATAAGGGCGCGCGCTAAGGGGCGGGGCCGGTCCGTAAGAGGCTCGCAAGGGCGAGCGGGGCTAGGCGGGGCCGATCGCACGAGGCACGCTAGGGCGTGCGGGCTAGGCGGGGCCGATCGCGAGAGGCACGCTAGGGCTCGCGAAAGTGAGAGAGAGGAGGGCGCTCGAGGGCGCGACTAGGCAAGGCGCGCGAGGGCGCGTCTAGGCGAAAACGGTGGGCCCATCGTTCGGTCCTAGGTAACGACCTAGGCTCGTAATACCATGTGAGAAACTAAGAGTGAACGAGAATGGTGGACTAGAAGGAGAATGAGAGTACAAGTATGTCAAACCTAGAGTTGTGTACCCCCTAGAAGCTAACCCACAATAGCCTACACAAATATAAAACATACAATGTTTGACAGCATGTCGCTGGCAGCAACCCAGAACTTGTTTTAACGATTTCGGCCTGTAACGCGCAGAGTGCTGTCCGAACTCGCCAAGGCGAGTAACCCTGACGCGAACATGGAGTTTGTGGACAAGCAGCTGTTGGCTGCGGAGTGCATAATATTACGGGTGAGGGTACCAGTGAATGCGCATACCTGTGTGCACAATGTTTACGAGGGTAGACGGATTGCTAACTGTAGTGTGCATTTGTCGAAGTGCAGGAGGATAAGCTGCCACAGTAGCCGAACAAGCAGGACTGTGGAATTTTTGTTTGCCAGTACCCTGGTGATGTCCGACTTCACCACGTTATTGAGCGGGCTCTGGTTTCAGGGTGTGACGCCGCACCAATACCGGCGGGAGATGCGGCGCGACTTGTGCGCACACGCAACCGGAGATCTCATTCAGCAGTTGGAAGCGCTGGGGATCGAAATTCCCCCGCAGGACGCAGGCAGGGTAACAGAGGGGGGGGCAGTGGTGCGGGAGAGGAACGCTGGTATGGAAGATGTGAGGCAAGCACCGGTCAGTCAAGCCGGGGATGACGCACGGGAAACGGCGATGATGAGGGAAATGGCGACTATGAAGAACGATGTGATGTTCCTGGACGCGAGCTTCACCGTCATAGCCAGTTTTGTGGGATTGAGGCACGAGGAGGTGGTGTCCGCTGCAACCCAACTACTGATGCAAGGCAACCCCGTGAGATCCGGCGCGAAAGCAGAGGCAGGTGGCACCAAGAATGCCCCACACACTCCACAGCGTCCATCCGGTCGCAAGAGGCGTGATGACAGCAGTCCAGAGGAGGATGTCGTACGCAATGCCACCCGTGTTGCGCTGGCCTCCTTGTTCGCTGCATGTGATCCGACAGCGCGCTTGTTGCAAAACCCGCTGCTGTCAGGAGGGACCATACCTCACTGGATGTTCACCCGCGGGAGACCGCTGCTCGGGGTGACGGTGCCGGCTGGAGCTGATGCGTGGGGAGATACGAGCGGCCACGAGACGGTGAAGGCAGAAGAAGAAGAGGATCTCATGTCAGACACGGAGGACGAAGAGGATGGTGACGACACGTGTGCAACGAAGTACACAGGAGTCAAGTTGGAGAAAGCATCAGGCAAGTTCGGCGTGAAGATCCTGATCAAGGAAGGAGGAAAGCGTAGGCAACAGCGGCTGGGTGCGTACACATCGGAGGAGGAGGCGGCGTTTGCGTACGCCGCAGGTGCGTTTGTCCTGAGGCCACGAGACAAGATACCCAACACGGCCAGTCTGTCAGCCGCAGAGAAGGCGATGCTGCGTGGATGCACCAAGGAAGATCTGCAGCTCCTGGTGGAAGCGCGGAGGTGGTGGAGGTGGCGGAGCTAGAGGGAGGCACGGGAGGGCGTGAACTGGAAGGTGAAACGAGGGAGGAAGCGAGTGGTTGCCACGCGCACGTCAAAGAGGCAGAGGGTGGTGGATAGCAACAACAAGGCGGCCAACGAACCAGACGACCCTGACAATGCTGAGAGTGGGGGAACGGCCCCTGTGCACAACGGCAGCGGCGGGTGTGCTCGGCACAACGAAGCCGAGGAGGGTGTGGAAGAGTCTGTTGCACATGAGAAGTTGGCAGACCATCCTGCATAGTTGATGTAGATGTATAGACGTACACATGATTGCAATTGTACGGTATGTTTTGCGAGAAATTCAGTTAGAGATGTGCAGGGCGTCAGATTTTCTGCTTGTATTCGTAATTGATGGGTGCGAAGGCTCTTGCTTACACAATGGAGCTCAATTGGTCGGTACATTGTGTGCTAGTGTAGCGTGCAATTGAACCCGAAGCGTAAGCGTGGCGAGACATGGAGCGGCGGGTCGGACGATGATGGAGAGGACGACGAGGAAGATACGCATGGTTCTGGTGGTCGTCCTATTCTCTCGGCCTGTTCCGGGACGACAGGGATGCATCCAGCCCATGGGCACCTGAAAAGGAGCGTAGTATCGAGAAGATAAGGGAGCGCATTGGGCTTGGCGCTGACCCCCCTGGTGAGTGCATGAGACGCGCGTTGGAGTCGTCGACCGTTTCTAGTCATGCACCAATGCGAGAATTGTGGACATTGATACCCACGCTTCGGATGTGGTGTGCAGAAACTCTAGTGCTGACCAGCTGGGCGCACGACAAGGATGGCGTGCCTTTTGCCTCCCGAGCGTTCGCGACATGTGCGAAGGCTGCCTTCAAGCCGAAGAAGGCAGGGCTGGTGATGACCCTTAAGGTGTACCACCTAGCCTGGTTGGAGCATGTGGTGAGTGTGTGCGCGCGATGTGTGCAATGGTGTGCATCCTATTGAAAATGCATGGACTAACGCTTTTTGTGTTGGGCGCAGGTCTCCGACTGCGTCCTCTACTGGGAGGCGCGGAAAGGCCGGCTCTCCAACTCGGCGGGCGGGAACGCCCACGTTGTGGATGTGCTCAAGTTCCTGGTCAAGGAGGCCGTGGAGAGGGCGATCTGTATCCGCAACCCCGAGTATGACGCGGAGCGCGAGGCGTGGATTTGGGGGCGCCATGGCCTGCGCATCTCTGCGTGCGGCCTGGAGCACATGAAGCCCGCGGCCGCCGCCCAGTCCGAAGGCATCGTAGGGGATGACGACCTTTTGGCGTCACTTGGTGCTGAGTAGACCGTCAATAGAGGATGTTGGTGGTGGACGGTTGAAGAGATGCGTAGATGGAATCTTGTACGGCTATGTGTGCGATGTTGGAAGTTTGGATATGTGGGGTAAGGGGGTTGCATGTGTGTGATTGAGAGTTGAAGAGGACGGGTGTAGATAGGAGTTGTGGTACTCATTATGTGCGACCTTGTTATGAATGGGAGAAGTCGTTTGGGGTAATTGATGTTCGAGATAACACAGGCAAGTAGAGGATGATGTACAATGCGACATGCAGGACCGAACCAGGTGCGCGGGCGGACTAATGGTGCGCCGCATTTGGCGGCGCGTGTCGCGGAGGGTTCCATATGTCGCGACTGGGTTGGACGTGCCCGTCACAACATTGCGGGCGTGAGGCGTTCCGATTGGATATCATCATGGATAAGCATTGAACTGGAACCTATGCCCAATTTGACATGCACGAACAAAACTACGCGTGTCACTCTATTGTACGTTAGAGCAATCGAATTTACGTGTAGGAGTGATGGCGTACTGGTTGGGAGCTCGAGTTGATATTCGACGAGGGCGCGACAGGTGTACGGTCAAGATTGTTTCGCGCACATTGAGCGAATGCTTATGGCGAGGAGATGGATGGATGGTTACTAGATGTGCGAGTGGACGATTCGAAGGCAAATGTACGGGGTAGATCGCGGCTGTGAGTGCAACGTGGCAGCTGGGAGTTGCAGACTATGTGTGCAGATGGACGGTGCGGATGGAGTCGCAACCTTGTAGCGTGAGCAAAACGACTGGGTGGCGAGAAATATGGCGAAGTAAACGAGAATGTGGCGGTGCGACATTTGTACGGCGAGGGTGCAATGTTGGATAGGGTGGATAGGCATGATGCGCCCTCCGATGGATGCCAAGTGTCAAAATGCTAGTGGGTCTCGTACACGGGAGTTGCGACGTGCGCACCCGTGGGCTGGTTCCAAGTGTCACGTATTTACGGGCTGATTGATGAGGAGATGGACGGGGAAGATGCGAGTGCGATGTGTCAGCGAGTAGTCGCGAGGTGGTGCTCGTGAAGGAGTAACATGATGTGCGAGTAGCTGACAGGTCGACACGTGAACCGTCTAGATTGCGTGAACAAACGGTATATCTAACGGATGGGGTGCGGGTACATTTTGATGGGTGAAAGCTTGCGTGGACCATCGGGTTGATACTGGATGCCACGTGTGTTGTCGCGTACGGATGGCAGTTGGGGTTGCGTAGTTGCAACTTTGTAGCCGGTTGGAAAGGTTAGGTTTGGTAAACTTTCATGTGGTGCAGACCGTAACGGTTTTGCAACGACAACGTAGCAGGTGTAGTATCTGATTTGATACACACATGTGTACAGAATGCAGCGGAATAGTGACTGGGTAGTTGGTTTGTCAGTTACTGACGCTATGCAGTTCTAAAACCTTGACTTGAAAGTGCCGGGCAAAAATTATCGAGGAAGTTGGGGCTGAGTGTATTTTGAGTGGCTTTTCGAACTTCCCTTTTTCGCGATGGTCCGGAAGTGAAAATATGTGAAGAGTATCTTGGTTCATTATGTACTGGCGTAATCACATATACAGAACGCCCTTGTGGGAGCTTGAGAGGATCAGTTCGTGTGCACAAACCAGAAAGCTCCTAATTTAGGAAAGAAGCAGTCCTATTTAGCCTAAACGGTCCTATTTAGCCTAAACGGGGAGTATAATGACCAACCTAGATATCAGCACTGGAGCTGCTGGAGCGAAGTTCTGAGCTTCATAGCAATCGAGCTTCGAATCTAGCGGCATTACGGAGTCACTCGATAATCCATTCGTCACTGGTTGGGTTGGGACACCCGCATGGTTGAAAGCCTTACACGTTTATCAAGATGCACTCATTATTGGTTTTCACTTACGGTACCGTATGCCACAATGTAGCACACCACCCAGCCCAACAGCTGTGAATATACCGGTACTCTTTTGACACCCACAAACCCCTAGATTGCCTTATCAAAAAAAAAAAACAACCTATGCCGCCCTCTGTGGGAGAGGATTACAGTTACAGAATCATTCCACCATTGCTAAACTTCAACTTGCACTGCAGCATGCCTCGTCGTTGCCGTCTAGCATGCCTCGTCGTTGCCATCTTTTGTTGAGTTAACCAAACAGGTCATTAATAATTTCTGAAGCAACGCATTCAAGCCACAAAAAGGGATATATTTTCTTGCACATGGAAGATCCCTTGTAATGCACCTAGGATTTCATCCATCCCTTGAATACGGTACCAGCTTCCTGCACAATACATTTCAGCTTGTGCTAGACCAGCTGCTGCCAGCACTCCTGCTACGGCTTGCCTGGCACGGGAAAATTGCAGTCGCCTCGCTAACTGGGGGTTGGATCGCCTAGGCTTTCATCCAAGCCTTGGCTAGCTTCTTGGACAGATATGGTACCTCAGGGCATGTGCGGGACCTGCAGCTAGCACTCCTGCTATGGCTTGCCTGGCACTGGCTATGCGCACTAGCCACGCCAGCTGGGGGTTGGATCGCCTATGATTTCATCCAAGCCTTGGCTAGCTTCTTGGACAGATACCTTGCAGCATGTGCGGGACCTGCTGCCAGCACTCCTGCTACGGCCTGCCTGGCACTGGCTATGCGCACTCGCCTCGCCAGCTCAGCTGCTAGCTCAGCACACAACACGTTTCTGGAGACACTCAATGCAAGCCGACGCGAGAGAGCTGCTGACATGGCAAAGCTGGGTTGAATCAGCATCTGGGACGCCGGTGTTCTTTCCCACATCTTGGAACTGGGAAGGGCTGAGCATTTGCGAAAGTGGGATGGCAGAGGGGAGCGAGGAAGGTAAGGTGGAGTACGGAGGAGGCGGAGTGAGAGTGAGGCGCGAATGGAGGCTGGGATGTGCTGAATGAGGTATTGGCGACAAGTGGTTGAAATCTCCTGCAAGGAGTGTGCAGGGAGGAAAAAGGGGTGGGGAGGAGGTGACGTGAGAGGGAGGTGAGAACAGAGAAGGGGATTTGCTGGAGGAGAAACATAATAAGTAGATGGAAGAGACGAAACAAAGGAAGGGTTTAGTAGGACAAACGGGATGAAGAATGAACAAAAGGTGCTTTAGCTACTGGGGTTTGCATTGGCGCTGGCCCGAGAGAAATCAAGTGCGGCGGCCGAGCCAGCAGCACAGGAATAGCACCCGGTGCGTCCAATTGTGGTGCGTTCAGGTGCCACCCCAAAGTCCACCCTCCCACACCAAACCTGGACGCACTTGGTGCTACCCCTGCGCTGCAGGTTCGGCCACCGCACTTGCTTTCTTCTGGGCCCGCGCCAATGCAACCCCCAGTGGCTGAAGTCCCTTTAGCAGATTGGCGTCATTACCCCAATCTTCCTTTCCCGCCACGTTGGCACCTTAACGTCATTCAACCAAGCATTTGCGTTATCCCAATTATTCCTTACACAAATCACAACCTCCACCATTAAGAATTGTTGCACCTTTTTGCCAACACATTCCTTCCCTCTCGCCCCTGAAGCACCTCCGTATACACAACCCGTGTGACCTTCCTGAAAACCCGCCGCCGGCACCTGGGTAATGAACTCACCCCCAGCGAATGTTTTTGTTATTTCATAAATACTCTTCTTCGCTCTTCCCTCTCCCCTCTTCCCTCTCTCCTCTCCCCACTTCCCTCTCCTCTCTCCCTGGTCCCCTCTCACCTCTCCCCTCTCCCTGCTCCCCTCTCCCCTCTCCTTGCTCCCCTTTCCCCTCTCCCTGCTCCCCTCTACCCTCTTCCTGCTCCTTTCTCCACTTAAATTTAGATTCAATAATTCGAGGCGCCTCAAAAGGCGCTAGGCCAGGGTGTGAAGCGGAGAGACCCAGAGGGGAGGCAGCAGAAAGGAGAGATGATGGGCTGAGGTGGTGAGATGAGGAAAGGTGGGGACACTGCAAAAACAGTGCGCATCAAACCCTCTGAACGCGTACAATATGATTTAACCGGCCATGCTCGGCAGCTCACGCGTCGTTTAAATAGAGTGGCAGCAGTGACAAAGTGCTGCTAGTGCCTCACCTGCCCTATCAATCCGTTGCTCTCCAGTCTAGCTGGGGACAACTCGCCCGGAGTGTACGAGTTTTGAGGTGCCTCAGAACTCGTCCGGTACAAGACAGGGCAGCAGATAAACTGCTGCTCGCTCCCCACCTGCTCTATTGGTCCGTTGTTCTGTAGTCCAGTTCCAGAAGATTCAGCAGGAGTGGACGGAATGCAGTGGAGGCAGCCCGAGTTGACGAAATGCTGGAGAGAGGAGCGATAGAGCGAGCGGAAGTGAAGCTAGCTCCTCACCTGTCCTATCAACCTGATGCTCTGTTGTCCAGCTGTAGAAGACTCGGCAGGAGTGGACGAGATGCAGTGAAGGCAGCCTGAGTTGACGAAATGCTGGAGAGAGGAGCGATAGAGCGAGCGGAAATGGTGGAAACCACCGGAGACGATTCTGCTGATCTGAAGAGAAGAATCGGGAAACGGGACAGGCGACAGTAAGGTGAGCTTGACATAGGAGAGAGTGGAAGGTTGAGACAGCTTAGAGATGACACATGTGCTGAATTCGTATGTACAAGGTGTAGATGCCATGGCTCTGATCACCAGCCAAGACACACATACCCACCACCCAAGACGCACGTACCTTGTTGGGGTCTTCAGCTAGTGCCATGCGCACATCACCTGTGTATGAAATGCGGCAAATCGCCCTATACAGCTCGAGCGGATGGTGGTGAAGGCGTGCAGACTGCAGCACACACACACGTACCTTGTTGGGGTCTTCAGCTAGTGCCATGCGCACATCGCCTGCGTATGAGATGCGGCAAATGGCCTCATACAGCTCATGCTGGTAGTGATGGGAGTAGGGCAATCCACGATAGGAGAGTAAAACAGGAAGTAATGAGAACAAGTTCATCCACGAGCGTGATGCACAAGGACAAAAAGATCCGTTATGAGATATCTCAAAACGACATACGTTTGTTTCTTTCTTCCTTTTTTTAAGGTTTCTGATATGAAATGTCCATGGACGAAGGAGGCTGGAGCGCGGGAGTACAGCCAGGAACCACTGGAGAAGAAAACAGACGGCCTGCCGTTATGTCAGAGAAGCAACTGCAGATGGCCGTCACTCTAAACAATGCAAAGTTGGGCACTCGATTCGCTATTTCCTGAGATTAGGAAATTTATGAGGAACAATGTGAACGATATGAAACATGATTTCGCTTCCAAACAGAGTACCTCTGTGAACGTCTGGGGGAGAAGCAGCAGCGCCGCAGCCACAGCTGCTCTCAAGTTGTGTGGTTGTAATGAGAGGACGTGATCATGAGGAATAAGAATCTCCACCTGCAGATCACGAGACCATCACAACATAACATGGATGTAGCAATAAGTGAGTTTGTTTTTCATGCAACATATATGTGTGCCATGCATGGCGTATGTGTTCATGTGCATGTACATGCATGTATGTACGTGTATGCATTTGCACATGCATGTTTGTAAATCTACACAATGCAATTCCATAAAACCAGGGGAAGGGGGAGAAGAGGAAAGAGAACGGAGAAGAGGATATGAAGTGGAGAGGTGGAGAGAGAGGTCGAGTGGAGTGAGACCAAATGAGAGGAAACAGCAGGCTAGAAGAAGGATAGTGTGATGTCTTGAAAAGGAGGGGAATCGCCAGGGGGGAAGAGGGTGTAAAGGTGAGGAGGAGAAGATCGATGGGGGTGTGGTGGAAGGGGCGGAGGGGGGAAAGAAGGGGAGCGTGGAGATGAAGGGAGAGGCAAGGCAGGGAGGCGCACAGAAAGGCAGCAGTACAGGCTTGTGAAGGCGGCCACTGATGTAGAGGTGCTGCCACGTGACGAGGTCTGATTGCAGAGCCCTTGTTGCAATTACTCCGTACTTGACCTGCCAATGGGGTTCCACGTGTGCAGCACGAACAAGGTGGCTATTGAGTCGTGTTGCAATCATTTCGTGCTTCACATGCAAAAACAAGGCATAAGACTACATGAAATTTGTGCATCGGACCAAGTGTGTGCGACTTGATCCGATCAGCTCACTGCATTTCCTTGATTACCAACGGAAGAGGGAGATTCCATGAAGCACAGCACGAATTCTTGCACATCTGGTTAGTGATGAGCGAGTGCGACTCTTGAGTAAACTCAAACACCAAACCAGAGAGGAATGAGTCCTAAAGCACCTGGTTGAGTGGTGAGTGTGGAACGAACGGATTGAAGTGCACCCCCACCCCCAATCTGTCTGCTGCTGCCACAATCTTACAAGGGCGAGAATAGGAGGTGGGGCGAGTGAAAGGGGTTGTGCAACACAGCAGGAAAGAGATTGGCGCAACATGGAAGCGGAATGAACGCTATGGACAGAAGAAAACGGCACAAGCTAAGGGTGGGGCGACAATGTGAAGTGAGGAAAACGGCTTGCTGGTTACGGATCAGAGCAGAATAAATTACACCTATGTGCATACACACATATGCACAAGCAACGGGGAACATGCAGGTGCCTTCAGCTCTTGATTAGCCAGGGAAAGAATAGCGAGGGCTTACAGCTCGGCTACCGAATGTGGTGAGGAGGGAGGAGTAGCTGTGGCCGTGCATGTATGAGGCATATAAGAGGAGCCTTCAGCTCTTACAACAGCTAGGGAGGAGAAGAATAGCGAGGGCTTACGGCTCAGGTGCCGAATGTGGTGAGGAGGGAGGAGTAGCTGTGGCGTGCACATAAGAAGTATGTACGAGGAGCCTTCAACTCCTGATTAGCCAGGGAAAGAGAAGAGAGGGCTTACAGCTCGGCTGCCGAAGGTGGCGAGGAGGGAGGAGTAGTGGGCTCGGTTATGTCTCAAGTTCTACGGGCCATAGACATGGACATGGTGAAATGCAGCGGGGAAGGAAAGACGCAAAGAGGAGGGAAAAATTGTCGGGTCGATTATGTCTCAGGTTTTGATGCAACCACGAGGTGGGACGACATGGACATGGGCATGTGCATGGTGATGGTGTCATGCAGCGGGAAAGGAAACATGTGATAAGAGCATGGGCAGGAAGGGGAACCCGAGGGAGTTTGGAAGCATCACAAGCACCACTGGAAAGACGAATACTAACATCAGGACGAGGAGCCCTGGAGTCACATCCAAGTAGCATCAAATGCCGTTGATGCTGCCAGAGATTAGAATGACCCAATGCCTCACCTCAGCATGCCAGGATAAGGGGTCATCAACGGCCAGGATGAAATCCACCATGGACGAAGATGGTGGTGAGGGAGGGATGGAGGAATGGGATGGATGGTCAGCATGCTGGAAGCCTGGCAGGTTTTTCCTGTCAGTTCTCCCCCACTGAAAGCTGGAGCTGCTGCCGTTGCTGTTGCTGCTGCTGCTGCTGCTGCCACTCCTCTCGTCGCCGCTTCCCGGATGTTCGGACTGATCGCTGCTAGAGCTGCTGAGGGGGGTGTTACAGCTGCCGCTAGTATTACCGTCATGGCTGCTCTTAACCCGGCTGGTGCAATCTTGCGGAGTGATACCTCGCGGGATTTTCCTGTCGACTGGTGGCTGCTGGAAGACGCGCGAGCCATAGGCGAAGGCGAAGTCGACAGGCGGAAGGAGGTCCAAGAATCCAGTGAGCTGGGCTCGCGAAAGGGACGAAGGCGGCGGATCATTCATTGGACGGTCGGACGACAATAAACGACTATCAGACGACATTTCAACAGGTCGAAAATCGTTTATTTAACCTAAAAGCACAGATCCTGGTTCACATGTTGTCGAGAACCTAAATAATAGGAAAATCCCACATAATACTCGCTCTCTGGGCCGATTCTGGCAGTTCTGAAGTGCGCTCGTAAATCGAGGCCGAATCGAGATGCGCATCAACGCTGTACTAATCCAGAGGGGGAGCGGCGAGAAATGCGGTAAATGTGGTTGGTTGGTTCTTTGGTTGGATGGTACACTTTTGGTTCACCTGAAAGTTCGTATTCTGTGCTGGGCAGAGAAGTGAGGACTGATTTGTGTTGTAACTGAAACAGCACATTTGTGCTCCCTGAAGTGAAGCGTGTCAGGATTGACCGTTTCTATAGCTGGCACGGTACACGGGAAACGCATCGCAACTGAACTTCGAAGTCCGCGCGAACCCCAGAGCTTTTGACGCGTCGAACAGTTTGTACGGAAAACGAACCGATGGATCGAACAATAATGATTTGCAAATTGAAACAAACCGATACCCAATGCAGATTTGAGATGGGAAGAAACAAGGAACCTTGGGAAACTCTTCAGAAGCCCTCCAGATGATAAATCGAAGAATCACCATTCTAGTCTTGCTCTGAACAAGCGCACTCCATTCCTTGGGAGAAGCCTGCAAGAACGAGTTAGCGGCTTCCGCTTGCAGTTGAACAATAAGTGCTCGCGACTTCATCCGCCATTCGCATTTCTCCTTGCAAGTTGCAACCATGATTGCCGGCGACTTTGTGAAGGACCTTGGGGCGTTGGTGATGGGTGAGGATGATGAGTTGTTCACACTAACCTGGAATAGGTTCAGTCGTTCTTAATCCCAAATTGATTCGCAGTGACGCTTCTCCTTCCGCTCGCCATGTATGGCATGAGAGGAACGTCAACTATGAAGACGAGGCTGGCAGCAGCCCTCTCAATAATTATTCTCCTTGGCCTTTTCACCATGGTGTCGATGAGCCTTATGTATGCCAGCACACACAGAATTGATTACTCCGCAGCAGGTAACGGAAGTTTTCGCAGTAGTATTGCGCTGTCGCAATGGGTGTCTTAATGCTACTTTCGGTCGCAGTCCACCTGACTGCAGAACGTGATGAAGAATCAATTTGCGAAGAACGACTGGCGCCAAGCAAGGAGGGCCCTATTGTGTCCGGAAAGAATCACACTTTGATCAACATTGCTGGGCCAATGACTGGTCTTGGCTGGTGGCGAGAAATCCTTCGAGCGTTCTCAAATGACGAGAATTTGATGTTCGGAGAGGGCGGTTCAGACTCGTTGGACTGCTCGTCTGATGTGTTCCAGGTAATTTTGCAAATGTGCTTCAGAGGTTCTCAGCATGCTCTTGTGCTTTACGTTGCTGACATTTCGTAGCATATGTTCGGATGACAGGTAGAGAAGTATGATGACGAAGATTTGATAAAACTTCCAAGGCCTTACAAAGGAACACTCATAGTACGCGATCCAAGGTCCATCATCCTTGAGCAATGGCTTTTGGGTCAACTGGATTGCAGATCGCCTGGCCGTTTCCACGAAGGAGTTGGTTCGGCAAAATCAAAAGTCATTCGAGCTCAGGTAAGCACATTGGTCATTATGGTGCTGTGAAGGAAAGGGAAGGTGCATGTCCTTGACATTATATGCTCCGTTTCCTGCAGAGGATCTGCAGACTGACTAAGGAGGCAGGCATAAACTACGTGATAACTGCCCTAAGCGAGCAAGGTTGCAGCGGCCCCCTCCACTATGCTTGTGTTGCAACGAGCATTCCAGCTCGAGTTGCCATGACTGAAGGCTTGAAGCTGTTCAAGGTTTGTCACATCAGTCATCATGCTGTTATACTCTCACATGCTCTTACATCCTTTCTCTTTTGCAGTATGAGGATCTTTGGAGCGAGAGATCTCTTAGTCTAACCAATCTGGGACTTTGGTATGGGCTTCAGGTAAGCCTGCTCATGAATCTGTCTTACATTCATATGCGACCTCTGTTGATGTAAATTGCAATGATTACAGGGCCCCCAGTTGGAACGTTTCATTAGCACTGCTAGGATCTGGACCATTGAGTACCGCTCGTTGATGCATGACTCGGGCATGCACCAAGTGCGCAAGCAAGATTCATGGAAAGAGGTGACTGCACTTCATCACATTTTCTGCCCTTGCATTCTTTTTCTGTAAACTGACATCCTTCGCCGTCCGCAGCACTTTACTCCGCTGAATGTCAAGTTATTCGAGAACCATTTTGGCAAACTTGCCAAGAAACTCGGATATTGAGTGATGCCAACAAAACTTCACCAGGGATGGGTGGTTCTACAAACAGAATGCGCTTCTCAGTTGAGGTTGGACTGGTGTCTCACCATTACCTCCAAATGTGGTAGACCACTACATAAATGTTTTATTGCAACAATCAAGTGTAGCACTACAATGCAATGCTGCTAATTGCCGGATATATTGAGTCCTTCGTCCTACGCAATTGCAAGAGCCAGCTTGAACAGCTGCATGAAGTACAGTGAAATAGGCAGAGGCAAGGAAATAAAATAAATGTAACCATTTGCATAGAAAACTGGAAAGCAAAAAAAACAGGAGCAAGACGATTGCTCAGGATTTGGGTCAGGTGGAAAAGGGGATGTGGATTGGAAACGCATATGGCAATAAACCTGAACAATCTCAACATGGCCAGACACCCATGAAAAAGAATAAGGGAAGCGGTAACATAGTGAACCAGGGGAGCATGTAGCACCACGGATCAACAAGGCGAGTCAAATACGGGACTGAGGAAACGGACGAAAAGACTGAGTTTTGTATGAGGATGTTATACGCCAAAAAGCTTCTCTCTGCATTGAAGCGTGATACTATCCCACACACAGCAATGCCATGGAAGATGCACTTGCGACATGACACGTGGTTTAACCAAATCACTTAGGCCACGCATCCATCACCAGCAAGAATCCACAGGTGTGCTGTGTTTGTTATTATGCCTCCCATGTGCCCTCTCACAACATTTCTTGCGAGGAGGGGTATCGTAAGAGGCAGTCAAGAGAGGTGGATGGAAGCACCATCACTACTGGAAACACATAAATCTAGCAAATATTCTGTACAGGTTAAGCATGCTGTCCAACATGACAAAGCACGAGGAACAAGAGGGGCTGGAGGAACAAGAGGGGCTGGAGGGACAACACGAAGGAGATTCTTAGAGGCCTATGGGTAGGGCAAGTGGTGAAGAAAAAAAACAATATAGCAGGCGAAGCAAAAGAAGAATAAACAAGATACTGATAAAACGGCATCCCACAAAACAGGCTACGAAGGTGGCTGGTGGGGCACATTGCATGAGTAGTACGACATATGCGGATGGCCAATGAGGGATGGTAAGTGACAAAATGAGGCATTCCCATTGTGTGTCAGACAGAGTCACGACTCACGATGCCTCGAACATGGTTTGTACGTGTGGCATACCATTTTCATCGCAGGTAGCAGCCATGCCACCTGGCCATGGTCGACTTAAAATTCATGGTTCGCTCATAGTGGTGCAAACCTGCATGGTGGTTTGAATGTCCTCCTGCATGTGTGCCATATTAATTGTTGAAATTTTCGGAAGGTAGAACATGAGGGGTGCAACGGGGAGATGGGAGAACATGATGTGTGCTACAACATAGATAACCTAGAAATGAGGGGACGAGTACGGGAAGGGTGGGGGAGTGGGGGGGAGAGTGAAAGGAGGGCGTCGAGGGGGAAAGGGGGAAGAGTGGGAGCGGCTGAGAGGAGAGGGGGGGGGAGGGTGGGGTATAGACAGGGGAGCTGAATGGGCTGGGTTCGCTTGAGAAAAGGAAGGAGGTTGATTGGGTGGGGGGGAGGGGGGTTGGGGGGAGGGGGGGGGGGGGGGGGGGGGGGGGGGGGTTGTTGTATGGTCGGGAGGTTGAAAGACGGGGAGCTAGAAAAGGGGTAAAATCATGCATATAGAAAGTCTGCAAAAAATATATGGGTGCTTGACGAATGGTGTTTAAACGGATCAAAGCCATGACGAGCTGGGTCCATGCGTTCCGCACATGACCAGCGGCACATGTATTTCAACGGCTTCGTGAACTCCAAACCTTGAACAGCCCTGAGCTAAAACCCTGAACTAAAGCTTGTGAGAAAAACCTGGCTCACCCGCAACTGCATGCATACATATCCTCGCCCACGCACAGCAGCATGCATGCTCGCACGAATGTATAGCGTAACACACACGCACCTGCACGCCCGCACATAGTATGCTCCATAAGAATCATTTTGTCAACTCAAGAAAGGCCAGTTGAAGGGATCGGAGCTTTGTTGTCGCCACTTGTTCGCTTGTTGGTGAACACATTCAGAGCTTCTTACAACGGTAGGCGCGCTTGCTGCCATGATTGGCCCGCGCTTCGCTGCTTACTGGCCCGAGCCTTCGCTGATTCTGGTTCACGCTTCGCTGCTATTTACGGTAGCTGCTTATTCGCGGTAGGTCGCGTGGTAGCATGACGAGAGGACGGCGTACCGAGAAACAACGCAAAATAACATGTAATGCTGTAGAGAAAGCAATTTCTCCAAGAAATCAATGGACTTCTGAACCAGCTGTAGTAGTTACAACTGCTGCTTGCTGCATCCCTACCGGTGGTCAGTCGTAAGGGCGTGCTCTACGTAGCGATCATTCATATCTTGATCTGGAAGTGCATATTTTGTTAAAAGTTGGGGGCTGGTGGCGACCCGAAATTGCAGTTTGCAACCTGGTAGCAAAATGTGTGTGGTTTGAAATGTTTCCTTTCGTTTCAAGAATCGTACAAAGTTTTGACGGTATTTGAATTGCAACGTTTCGAAAACACACACACACTGCGTTTTCAATTTGGATTGGTCTGGAATCCAGCGTTTCCGTACTTCGCGTTTAGTCTGGTTTGCTGCTCTTATTTTTCAACTTCTTAATTACTTGCGGAGTAGCTTTTTATTTCATGGAGACGCCTTTATCTGAGGGCCCAGCGTTCTGGAAACTGCTGGGTCTTTATGCTAGGTATTTGCAGAAACACGATCCTGAGCGGCTCCTGCAAGCTGTTCTTCCTACTCTCGACGACCGTAATTTCTTCGAAACTTGCAACGATTTGCAAGCTTTTCATGAGATTGCGGAAGTCCTTATTTCAACAAATGTTGAGCTCCCAGATGCCATTCGTCAGGCGATGGCGGAGGGATTGATTGAGCGATCGCTGGATCCGTCGCTACCATCTCATGCAAACGAAAGGTTTATTCGCCTAGTAACACCCTGTTTTCGCACGGCAAAGGAATACCTTCACAACAGATTGGAGGCTATGGTAGAATTAGTGGACAAGGCGATTTGTTCCCGTCAAAGGGAGCGGGGTTTCACCCTTCAAGATGGCATTTTCATGGAAAAGATGCTTCTTGCGATTCACTCCCAGCCGCACTTGGACAAGGTTTGATATTCACAGAAATTTCACGAGGAACTTGGTGAGTGCTGTCACGTCTGACACTTGACCTCTGATTTGCAGTTCGTTTGTGAAAGGCCTTCCAATGCGTCTGAAAAAGGACGGCTCGAGGGCATTCTGGAGTCATTGCTCCAGTCGCCATCATCCCGTTTGCGTCAGCAAGCACTGAACTTGATAGGCGCTTGCTGCTTTTCTTCATTCAATGCCTTTCTCCAGCTGCAATCGATTCTTGACACATCCTTGGAGTTGGAAGACTTTGAAATAAGGCTTCACGCCCTGAAAGTTAAACTTGATATTATCTTTCTTTATCATGACAAGTTCCCAGTTCTTGAAGTCCAGCGAGCGTGCTTGTCTCACCTTTTCTCGCCATCCATGAAGATGCAAGCTGTGGCTGTGGTCGGCATTGGAAGACTGCTGCTTCATGACTGCTTTGAAGATGTAGAGCCTTTGTTGTCGGAAATGCTGGAGAGATATGTATACAAGCCGCCAGAGAAGATCAGGTAAGCCCACTGCTTGAGTTCTTCTCTTGATGCTCTATGACTAAAGGGTGTGTTGGTGCTCTGCAGTGAGGATCAAAATGCCAAGGTCACACGAATCCTTCGCATGTTTTTCCAAGAATATTCAGCAGAGAAAAGTAAACATCAGGATGAAATATGCAACACAGTGGTGTATAAGACCCTTGAGGAGATGAGAAAGGGCTGCCTGGTGGTTTTACCCAATGGCAAGGTGGGGCATGGTGTGAAAAGTGGAGGCGCCATGCACTATCGTGAGTTCTGCTTAGCTATCAAGTTTGCTCTTTCCTTCTGTGGGGATATGACATCAGCTATAGCTGAGAGTCTCAGCGTCAACATGCCAGTCTATCAGGGAAAGTCTATGTCTAAACAAGCCTTCAGCTCATGGCTTACTGCACTCTGAAGGATGAATGGCATGCAATATCTCCATTCCTCGTCGCCATTCGCATTTCAAGCCTTACTGTCTGTCTGTCACCTATATCTCAGTGAAAGTACTCTTCCATTCTACCACACTTCTACAACATGTTTGGATGATTGTAAGTGTTATGTGAAACACAGCCTGCTCCTTGCATGAGTACAGCAGGGTTTCAGTAACGAGTGCAGCATTGCCATGTGGTGCTAACAATCCAGCAAGAGAAATATTGTTTCTATTGATCTGTCAGCAGACATACGGTAACAAAATGATGACATTACTTGAATCGCTCTGCTGCGCTCGTATAGAGCTGAGTCGACTGGCTGAACCCTCGCACACATTGTACCATCCGTGACATAGACTAGTTGCTGAGCAAGGGAGCAGCAGCTGGTGCAGGTGCAGGTTCACTGTGTTGTTCTCCTGCTTGAAGGAATCTTTTTCTGAACACGGCATCATTGCACGGAAGGAACTGTGACAAACACACCGCCTTTCGCTCCCTCTTCCCAAACCCAGTCACAGACTCCTTTGCACCAGCTTCAGCCTCCCCATCGCCACTCCTACTCCCAAGCACCTCTTCATGC